GAGTTGTAGAAATCTGACTGGTTTCCTAGGACAGCACCACACACCTGGGGGCTCAGAACTGTTGGAACTTACAGAGCCCAGAGGTGCAGGTCTTGGGGTCTCTGGGGACTTTGGGGAGGGTTCCTCCTGCCTCTCGTGTGTCCCTTGCTGTGATCTCATCACTCCAGTCTCCGCCCTGCCTTCATGAGGCTTCTCCCGAATGTCTGAGTCTGTGTTCAAGTTTCCCCTTTTTTAAGGACACTGTCATTCTGGTAGAGCCCATGATGACATCACCTTGCTCACATCTGCCAATACTTCCCAGCATGTTGCACTCAAGGGTGGGGGGTTGGGAATTCACCCTTTTTTGGGGGGGGATGGGGTACACAATTGAACCCATAACAAAATGTATCTGTGAGCAAAGACTCTGGGAGGAGCCCCCAGCTCTGGGGGCCATGCCCTGGGTATGCACCAGCTGTCTGTCACTGCATAACAAATTGCCTCCAACTTACTAGCTCACAGTAACCAGCAATAAACACCTGGGCAGAAAACCCAGAAGCTTCCCTGTGTGCTTCCGGCCCTGCCTGGTGGCTGCAATTGGGGGTCTATGGCGCTGCTGTGGCACAGGTCCAAGGTGACCCTATCTGGCGGGAGGCAGTCCTGGGCGCAGGTGGGGACCTGGCACTCCCTCAGATCTGACACTCACGGAACCTCCCAGTATGTCTTCCCCACTCCAGGCAAGGCTGTGGCCAGGACAGTGAGCTTGGCCTTGACCTCTGGGAAAAGCTTCCTTATCCACCTGCAGGGCAGTCTGTGAACTCTGCAGCGGGCCTGGTGCAGGCCTGGGGGTTTCCAGACCTTGCCCCAGCCAAGCTTCACTCCTTTTCCTGGAATTGCGATAATACCAGGAGAGTGGTCTTTTCTCCTCCCAGGTATGGAAACCGCAGAATCTGCTGACCTTTGTTCCTCCCAGGACCAGGTATCTTGTCTGGAAACCCAGAGCATTGCAAGCTCTGGGGTGACCAGAGGCATGCCAGGCACAGTGTAGGCCCTTGGCTGAAGTTCCAGTTCCTGCTCTTTATTTTGGGAGCTGAAGGGCTGGAGGTAGGGCCAGAAAGATTTGGGTTGGTTTGCAGCACCAGAGCTCAAAGATTCAGAACCAGCATGTGGAAACCATGCCGCTCTAAGCAGCAGGAGAAGAGGTGGGGGTACAGCTGAGAACCCCGTGCCCCAGGATTCTCAGGGACAAATGCATCACTCTCATGGGAACTGGGGCCTTTGGGGGCACAGGGAGGGAGCAGGGCCACACAGCAGGGTTGACTGCCTCCCACCTGCTCCCCAGGTTGCCCTGGGCACCTTCTCCTGCCTCTGTGGTGGGTTCAGCCACGGGTGGCTCTGACAGGCTTCCCCACATGGAGCCCACAGGAGCTATCCTCACAGTTGAGCCCTCTTTAGGGCTCTCCTGTTTCCCTAGTCCCTGCCACATCCTGGCAATGGGCCCTCTGTCAGACCCCCCCAGTCTGTGGGAGGGCACTCTGATCCCCCAGGGGACCGCAGCAGACCCCACTCTGCCTCCCTGCTATCAGCTATGGTCTGGCTCCTTCCTCTGGTGTTGGCTTGGTGGAGTCACAGTCTATCCCCAGCACCGCAGCCTAACTGGGAGCCCCGCAGCCCCAGGTTGGTCACCCTGCATACTGGCTCCTGTGGTCCTTCAGGCTGCTGTGGGCAGTGCGTCCTCCCCTCAGGTCCAGCCCTGCCCCAGCTGCCCCATAACCCTCTAGTCTCTGTCCCATGACCTCCCCTCTGGCCTGGGATGGCCACATACTCCGACAGCAGCCCCACACCGCCACCCTCTGCCTGTGGGCCACAAAGGGCTGCGGGGACCCTGGGCATGGGGGTAGTGGGTGAAGGACCAGCACTGGGGGGCTTGGGGAGGCCCCAGGCCGGTGTCTGCAGATCACCACCCTGGGATGAGACTGTGTCTCCTGGTTGTCCCAGGAAGATAAGCCAGTGTCTGTCTGGGACTTCTCCTGTGTCTGTCCCCCTAGGTGGCCCTCACCAGCCCCCTGGGCTCCACTGCCCTTGGGGTCCAGGCCTGCAGACAGGGACCTACTTGTACCAGGTGTGTCTGAGACTCCTGAGGCCACTCTTCACCCAGTGGTGGCTGTGATGGAGAAGCAGAGATGTGGGTGTACCTCCTCAGGGCTCTGCTTGTTGGGGCTAACAGGGGATAGGAGTGGGCTATTGTCTGGCTCACCTGAACTACACCCTGGTGGGAATTCAGGGCTCCATAGAGCCTCAGCAGCCAGCACCCATCTTGGTCAGTGCCAGGCTAGTGCTTCCAAGCATGTGGGAAGCATCCCCAGCTCCCGAGGCTCTAGGGCAGCTACAGGTACTGGCTCTGTCTGGCCTCAGCCCCTGTCAGTGAGAAGCACAGGCCTGGGGTCTCCCAGGGTCCTGTCCCCACAGGGGAACAGAGGTGACCAGAGGCACATGGGCCCAAAGCTGACATGTGCAGCAGACAATAGGCTGGGGCAGGCAGGTCCCCACTGGGCCCTTGGTGGGTGTGACACTATGGCTGGTTGGGTGACTCCTGGACAAAGAGCCAGTGGGGCACAGAGGGCCAGAGCCATCTGGAAGGAGAGCCTGCCCAGTGAGTGGAAATAGAGAGAGGGCAGGGCTGGAGCTGTGAGGGGCAGCCAGCGGCAGGTGGGTGGACTATGGGGAGCAGCTTCCAGTGGGACCTGGAATGAGGACAGAGCAGGGCCCTCGGGAGTGTGTGAGCAGGAGAATTTCACTGACAGCATGAGTGGCGACACCATCCTTGCAGGACCCATGTTGTCTGTGTCCCCAGAGAGGATACTCGAAGGAGTGCCCAAAAGAGGTCCACACAGGTGACTGACAGCCAGTGTAGTGGGACCCGAGACCCCGCATTTCCAACGAGCTCCTCACAGCATCAATGACACTGGACCAGAGGCCACAGTAGCAGGGTCTAAATCGGTGGACATTCTTCACAGTAACAAGTGGTCAGTGACTGAGCCTCCAGGCTTGCTGAGTCCAAGGACTTCCTGGCAATGCCTCCTTCATTCCGCAAAACCTCAGGCAGCTCCAGCCGGGTCTGCTTCCCGTCACAGCCCACTCACCATGCTGCTACACCCCAGGTATGCGCGTCCTCCCCTCAGGTCCAGCCCTGCCCCAGCTGCCCCGTAACCCTCTCATCCCTGTGAACGGGCGTGGTGTGCGAGTGTTTAGACACGTTTTAACTCTTCAGACAAGGGCCCTTGAGAGGGTGACCTGGCATGGCTGCACACTGGCAGCAAGTGGCCAACCTCCCTGTGGCCACCACAAGGCCATACTGGGCGCTGCCCGGCAGCCCACAGAGCTGCCCCTCACAAGGGCAGGGGATAGCCGCTCACGGCCACACTGGGCACTGCCTGGTGGCTCTCAGAGCTACCTCTCAGGAGGGCAGGGGACAGCTGCTCACAGGAGCTTGTTGGTTGGTCTGTTCTTTGTCCATTTCTCATTCGACACAGAGAAGATTGGAGCTCCTGTGGGTGCCAGGTTCAATGCCAAATGCTGTCCTTGCCTGCCAAGGTGAGAAGTGGTTAAAATCTGGGGCCTGGTCTCCCATTTCTAGCCTGTGCTCATGATTGCACTTCCCTTCAAAAGGAAAGACAGAATTATTGGGGTGTATACATGTCTAGGGCAGAGTTGGGTACATCTGGATCTCGGGCAATGATGAGGGAAACCCTCACTGGGCTCACTGATGTGGCGTTTTCTCTCCATTGAATGACTTATGCTGAAGTTAGCGAGGTTTTTTAACCACCAAAATACATGTATTATTTGGGCCCAACCCAGGTGTTGGGGTGAAAGCATCTAAAGTAGGCCCCAAGTGCAGGCTCCTGCGGATGGCCCAGGAGGGCCCAGAGCTTGGTCATGTAGGGTGTTGAGGCCAGTGCCACCCTTCTTCCCTCCCAAAGCTCCCCAAGGCCACGGTGTGGGTTGAGGTCCTTTAACCCTAAGAAGATACTCCTTGGAAACAGGAGAGAACAGGTCACCAGGTCGTCTCAGGCTAAGAGCAGTGGGGGTTTCTGCAGCCCCACGTCAGTGAGGCCAGTGGCTGGCAGACCTCTGTGCTCAGCAGGCGCCTCAGGGCTGGACAGAGCCTTATAAGTGTTCTTGGGACTCAGCATAGGCTCTAAAAATAGCCTGGCGCTGCCTATGGACAGGCTGGCGCCATGGTCCCAAGGGGAGTGCCAGGGCTGCCAGATCAGGGGCCGGTCAGTCCCACATGCAGTCCAGGTTCCCTCCCATCAACCCGACTAGTCAGACTCTCCTGAGGCCGCAGGAAGGACAGGGGAGGAAGCAGAGGTGGCCGGCAGGTGCAGACTGGGCTACTGTCCTGGCATTGAGCCCCTGGGCCAGGTATTGCCCCCTAGGACCAGACTAGTATTCAACTCTTCCCACCACATCTCACAGGCCAGGGTACTCCCGTGACGCTATTTAAAAATGTGTGAAGTAAATTACAAAGACGTGGAAACAACCTAAACACCCATCAACCCAGGAATGGATTAACAAGCTGTGGTTTATGTATAACATGGAATATTATTCAGCCATAAAAAGACGGTGACTTCACATCTTTTGTATTAACCTGGATGGAGGTGGAACACATTCTTCTTAGTAAAGTATCACAAGAATGGAAAAGCAAATATCCAATGTACTCAAGACTAATATGAAGCCAGTAGCCGATCTAATGCATGCCCACACAGGAGAAAAACTCATTTCAATTCAAGTTGGGGGGAGAGGGAATGAGGGTGGGCACTTGGTGGGAGAGGGAATGAGGGAGTGGGTGGGGAGCTCCCTGTGAATGGACGCAGTGTGGGAGTGTCTAGACACATTGTAACTGCAGGACACAACTGCAAGAGGGACTCTACCTAACAAATTCAAGTAGTGTGACTGTTTCTACCCTCAGATTAACCTGAAATTTAAAAAATAATAATATAAAAATGAATGTGTGGAACAACCGGCGGCAGTTCGTTGGTCATGGCCTCCAACTTTAAGAAGGGTAACATGACATCAAGTGCCCAGCGAAAAAGGATGTGTCCTAAGCCTGAGCTTACTGAAGAGCAGAAACAGGAAATCCGGGAAGCTTTTGATCTCTTTGATGCTGATGGAACTGGGACCATAGATGTTAAGGAACTTAAGGTGGCAATGAGGGCCCTGGGCTTTGAACCCAAGAAAGAAGAAATCAAGAAGATGATAAGTGAAATTGATAAGGAAGGGACAGGGAAAATGAATTTTAGTGATTTTTTGACTGTAATGACTCAGAAAATGTCTGAGAAAGATACCAAAGAAGAAATCCTGAAGGCTTTCAAGCTCTTTGATGATGATGAAACTGGGACTATATCGTTCAAAAACCTTAAAGGTGTGGCCAAGGAGTTGGGCGAGAACCTGACTGATGAGGAGCTGCAGGAAATGATTGATGGAGCTGACCGAGATGGAGACGGTGAAGTCAACAAGCAGGAGTTCCTGCACGTCATGAAGAAGACCAGCCTGGACTGAGGTCGGCATCTTCCCCTGCGAGCACATGCAGCGACAGTAGTGCCCGCCATTGTGTGAGATTTGGCTTTTGAGAACCCAAACTATTTTTCCCTCCCTGTATAAGTTTAGTAGCGACCTTGAATCTATTTTAGACTTTTTGGGGAAGTGTTCTTTGATATTACAGTAAAATGACATGCTGGTTAATTTTCAAACATAAAATGAGAGCACATTAGAGTGGAGAAGGGGTCTTAGGCTTTGAGCACCTGCCATTTTGCCTTGTGTTGTTTCATTCTTGCCATGCAGTCCCACCTACATGGAAACACAGAATGACTTCTTAGACAAGCACATATTGTACCTGTGTCACCACAAGCACTGGGCATTCTTCAGTAGTTCCAGTTTTTAGTTGATGCCTGAATGTAGTTTTCTCTCACAAAAATGAGTGGACTCTAGCACTGGGATTTGGATGTTTGTTACTGCTATTTGGTTTTAACAATAAAACCTTTCTTAGTTTCAAAAAAAAAAATGAATGTGTGAAGTAAAACATGTAGGATCAAAGACCAATCATGCTGACACGCGGCAGGGACACAGACGTTCATGCTGACATGCAGCAGGGACACAGATGTTCTGTGGGAATGCAGGCTCCAGTCAGTCCAGCAGCCGCCACTGACTTCATCCGGTTTCACAGACACCACAGCTCCACCCACCAGCCCCCAGCCCACCAGCCAGACGTCCCAGACTGTCTGAGGCGGGGGTGGTCACCAGTGAGGTTCACATCCACTCTTATCATGCACCTGTCCACCTGACCTGCCCTCTGTACACACACACACCCTCTCATGCACACACACTCTAACACACAACCCTCATCCACACTCACACACACCCTCTCATGCACACACACTCTAACACATGACCCTCATCCACACTCACACACACCCTCTCATGCACACACAC